AAAAAGATCGTTCGTTTTTTTATGAATTAATATATTTTAATAAATCAAGATGTTACTTTATTTTGAAAAATATTTACCGACTTAGCATTTATATAAACTAATTATAAAAAATAATAGGCGGATAATTAAATCAATTCAAAATCCCTTCCGAAGGCCTGCAAAAAAATTTTTTTTAGCAATTTTTATATTTCTACCGAAATTTTCATATTTCTCCCGCATAATACTAAAATTCTCCCGCAATTTGAAAATTTTGACCTGGCAACCCTGCTCCCCTACTATATTTTTACAAATAAATTTATTTAATCTCCACAATTTATGTTCCTTTTTATTTGTCATAGTAATCTCTGGTAATCAATTATTTAATAACTTATAATAATTCTAAAATCTAAAAAATCTTATATTCTCAATTAGATTCAGTTGGCTTCTAAGTACCAATAGCTTTAACTATAAATTTCATAAATTATCACCTTTAAATAACTATTACACAAACTTCTTTATATCTCATCTACTATGAATGCCTTTTGTTTTTCATTTTAGCTAATCATATGGCTACACCATTTTGAATCTTAATCTTAACAATATCAATAAAAGTCTGAAATCTAAATAAGCTACCGTAAAATACTTTCTTTCTTTTTCAACATACATTTAAATTTGATTTTAATAACTCGAAATATCCTTGAAATCCAAAGTAAATTTAATTTTAAAAGTTAATTATCTTCTTTTCTCTTTTTAAAAAAATACGTCCTTTAAATTTCAATTACATTTCTCTAAATATTTTTCTTACCTCTTTATTTATGGAATTATTGCCTTAGAATGCAGTTGACATCACTCCTTGTCCCCATATAATCATTGCCTGGCATTAGATTGAAATTTTCTTAAAGCGATCCAGGAACGCGTCCTCTTTTCGGCACCACTATAATAAGCAAGATTGAGGTAACAATTGGAGAATAGTTTGAAATAAAAAGAACTGGAAAATAATAATCAACATATATAAAAATAGGAATAAATAATTTTACTATCACTTTATTACATTATCCAAAATAATTATAAAATAATAAGACATAAAAATTAAATTAAAAGGGTTAAAAAGAATTCTTTCCAAAAACTGAAAATTATAATATTCGCAAAATCTCAAATAAATATCTTTCCTTTAATCCTCATTTACATAGTCTATAATCTTAAATAATATCGTGATAATTCTTCTAATTTAGACATTTTTCGTTTAAACGTTTTCATCTGAATATTTCAACAGTATACCTTAAATTAAATATATATTACAATTTTTTTCAAATATACTAAAATTATTGTACATTTGACAACAATTTTAATTACAAACACAAATGAATAATATTTTTCTATATCACGGAGAATAAAAACTTATATAATAAGTACGACATCAGAAAATCAATTGAATAGAGCTCTACTTAATATACATAGATATTTGATCCCCATTACAGAGAAAAAGTTGTTTCAATCGCAAAAAGATTAGATTTTCATATAAATGATATTTTGATTAACTTTTTTAAATTATCATATGTTTTTTAACAATATTATTCACGATTTATATTGGCTCTTATTATTAATATTTTATTTTTTCCAATATTTTATTATTTGATTTAGAGATTCTTAATATATGTAAGAAATCAAGCTAATTAAATCAAGACTTTGAAACACCTTGAAATACCCTTTTCTACAAATTTAAGTAATTATGTCGATGGAACAAACTACCTCTTCTAAATAATTTCTTTACGTTCATATATAATTAAAATATATTAAGTATTTAACAATTTTAATAAATTTATCTTATATATAAAAATGTTTTATTTAAATTTTAAGAACATAAATGAGGAACAATTTCTTTATGACCAAAAATATAAATTTGTATCATGTTTGAAGCTATCAAATTGAAAACACTGCTAAACATAAATTTTATCATAAAATATAAGATAAATTTTGTCAAGTGAACATTTTATGTTCTGAATCAAAACAATTTCCAAAATTCGAAATCATAAATCTTGCAGCAACACAATAATTCCTGTAATAATAAGTAATATTTCAAATTTTAAGGGTTTTACAAATATCAGATGCTTTTGTAATTGCGAAATTAAAAATTAGAATAAAAATAGAATTCCTTATAATTTAAATAATTTTAAACATTTGTATTTATAATGTATCATATATATAATTATAAATATTATTCAATTATAAAAATCATAAGATAATTTCCACCGAATGTAGATAATTTTTCCGCGGCGGCGTAGTTAGAGCTAAAAAAGCGATGCCGGCGGTGGCACATTGGTGCACAGGTCTACCCTAACAAATATTTAACATTATTTTATAAATATATTTAATATATTTATGAAAACCTTTTTGAAAAACATTTTATTTGAATCTTTATCTGTATCAGCAGATTTTTTTTATTGATTCAATAATCTAAGATATAAAAAAATTAATTAACTCTTTTAAGATAATAGATCCACAACTCTGATCCACAGTACAGATATGCCTATTTCGGCCCCCGATTATTTTGGAAATTATTTGGTCCAGTCAGGATCAATTTTTATTTCAAATAATTTTGACGGTTATCTTACTAATTTTTTCAAAGGAAAATTGTAAATATAAACAATTGAAAATATGAGCCAAAATAAATATTAAATGCTCGAAAATTTTTTCTATTTGTAGATATAATATAAATTTTTAAACAATTGGCCCGGCCAGGATTTTTGTTTTTAAATTTTAAGCCCGACCTAGCCCGGATTCTAAATATTATGTCATCATCCTGGCCGGGCTGGATTCCGGACTGGGTTTGTAAGTTCTGTATTTTAATTATTTTTTGTTATACATTATTTTAAATAAAATTACAAATTATAAAAATTATTTGAGCTTGGTAAATTATTTGAATTTAATGTCAAAATTTTATAAATTATTGATCAATTCTATAATCTTCATAAACAGCTAGTCCATTATTCCACTCCAATAAATAAACTTTTTTATTATTAAAAATTTACAGCTTTATTAGTGATATAATATAATCTTATAATTTTTAGAAATGTATTTCTGACCATCCCAGATTAGCCACTCCCTTAACTTTAATTTGGTTTCTATTTAAATGAATTATTATATTTGTATGCCAATAATTTTTTGAAACTGCTATAATTGAAAAATCAAGAAAATAATATTCATTCTTCTTTTTTGCTAGTTAAAAAAAGCAAGTTAATTTAAAAATAAAATACACATTAATTAACATTGCTATTAGTATAAGCAATGGGGAGAAGGTTCCAACCTAAAACTGACATAAATAACTATTTATAAAACTTTTTAGTATAATATTTGATAAGTAAAGGTAGTATTTTTTTTAAATGATTATGTTTCCTATCCAAAAAAATGAAATGTTTTATCAACAAGGGAAAAGAACAATTTGAAAAAGGAAAAGAGCGGATCCATAAAAGAAAAAATCCGATCCAAGAAGGAAAAGGTTCGATCAATAAAAGAAATGACTGGAGGATAAGAAAAAGTATAGTCGAAAAGAAATAAATCTCATCGATAAGGGAAAAGGTCCGATCGAAGAAGGAAAATTTTTCAATAAAAGGAAGTCACCATTAATCTTATTTTTTGTCATTTTAATTGCCTGCAAATATCGCTTTTCTTGAATTTCTAATTTTTTTTTCCTATTTATATTTCTATTGTTTATTATTTTATGCTATATTTTAAAAAAATTAGTATATTTCGTTTTTTTTCTTATTTTTCTCATTTTTGATCAATCTTTTTATCTTTTTCTACAATCCTTTTTTCAATTATTTTTTTATATTTCTTTCCTGCCATATCTATTTAATGCTTAATCTTCTCTCATTTCTATTCTAATTGTTTTTCCTCCCTTTTTCCATTCTCTTAAATTTTTGGAACGTTCAAACTCAAAAATATATATGCGATTTAACATCATTTGTCCAATGGAAACAGAGAAGGTTAATTATATGTAAACCAAGTTTTTAATATTTTATAAGTTTGTAATTATTGTGCCCTTATCTATTTTTGCTATTTTTCTTCTATACTTTTAATTTTTTTATTTATTTTTATCATTCTTTTCTTATTTAATGTATTCTATATTCTTTCTTACTTTTTTATTTATTTTTTTGTTATTTCTAAATAAATATATTCTTTGCTTTTTTCATATTTGTACGATTTCTTGTCACTATTCCATTTAGTCATTTTTAATAATTTTTTTCTTTTTATTTTCATTTATTCTCCATTATTAAAATATAAATTTTATAAATTATTGGCAAAAAATGAAATAGAAATAAGAAGAAATATTAAGGAAAATGATATGGGAGGTTTGCAGGTGATTAAAATGACAGAATAAGAAAATATTTCAATAAATAAGATAAATAATGCAATATTTCCTCTTTCGATTAACCTTTGCTTCATTTATCGGACAATTTCCATTTTTTTACTTTTCTTTTTTCGATGGGATTTTTGCCCTTTCAATCGCATCTATCTATCTTCGATCGATTCTTTTCCATTTATTATTGGAAAACACTATTAAATTTTTGAAGAAAAATATTTAATCTAAATAAATTGCTTGAAATTTATATTAACTAATATTATTTAAAGGACACATAACCTCCCTTCTTAGAAAAATCTCGACGCTATTATAAAAATATTGGGAAAAGAGGATATTTTTTTATATAAATGGTTCGTGATTAATAATTATAATGCCCATTTCAGAGTATTTTGCCTTCTAAGTTCAACGGTTTAAAAGACAAAAATTATTATTGTTAACACCGTTATGAATGAACCTAAAACATGAACCTTCTCATGGCTAATTAAATTATTAATAAGGAGGGAATTTAAAATGATATCATATCTATGCAAAGTAAATTATACTTATAATCAACTTACCTACATGCATTTTATATACTAATTTTTTTTTTAAATAATGAAGTATATTAAACTCTTTTTAAGCTTGAATTTTACTTAAAATAAAATTTTGTATCATACTACAGATCCCTTTGGACAGACAATAAGATTAGACAACCACGGAGACGGTATTCCCAAATACAATATACTAAATTACCGATTTAATCCTGTCACCAAATTATACGAGTACAAATTGGTAGGAATTTGGGATGAAGGATTAAATTTAAACGTAAGCGAAATTAAATGGAAAAATTCCCTGATCAGTGATGGCGCAGGCAAAGATTACAGCGATAAGAAAATTATCAATCGTCATGCAATGTTAACTTCTTTCTATTTGAATGTATCATCACCTACTCATACTCCAATTTTACAAGATGTTTTTGATATCAAAAGGAAAATAAAATTGAACAAAACTTCATATGTTAAAAAGGATGATTTAACATTATCTGTGACATTCATTGACAAAATCAGAGTCGATCCAATTTACTCTGAGGACATAGTAATTGATGCGAGTTACTCAGATGAATCGATTGCCAAAAAGACTAAAGATATTAAAATGGTAGATTCAAAAAATATGTCTAAGGCTTTAAAAATAAAACAATCGCAGAAAACTGACCATAAAAATCTTTGCAAAAACATAAATAAAGATGTCCATGATGATATTTGTAATAAACATGCTTCAAAATTAAATCAAAAATTAAAATCAACCGATTTAAAAAAGGTGGACTACGAAATTATAAAAATTAAAATCCCTATTTCCAGATGTAGTGAGCCTTGTCAGCGAGGAGAAATAAAAAATATGCAAAAGGGAGAAGTTTGTTGTTGGATATGTACAAAATGTCAGCCCTGGGAATATGTGGTTAACGAGACAACCTGTTGGGACTGTGGCATTGGTTGGTGGCCTAGATCTCCTAAGCTTGATTCGTGCTATCAATTACCATTAAGATACATTATATGGAGTAGCATATACGCCATAATACCTATATGCATATCTTTAATCGGTGTTTTATTAACCACTTATGTTGGTTTAATATTTTTAATCAATATAGATACCCCATTAGTTAAGGCTTCAGGCAGAGAATTAAGTTTCATGCTATTGGGTGGGATCACGATTTGTTATTTGTGCACCTTTCCACTCCTAGCTAAACCAACTCTTTTGGTATGTGGTTTGCAAAGGTTTATGATAGGTTTTGGGTTCGCCGTCATGTATTCAAGTTTGCTCACCAAAACAAATCGTATATCTAGGATTTTCAACAGTGCCAGTAGATCTGCAAAGAGACCAACTTTTATTAGTCCTACTTCACAAATGGTTATAGCTTTAATCTTGATAACCGTTCAAATAGTCATGAACGCTATATGGTTCTTGTTAGAGGTACCTGGGACAAGAAATTTTTCCCCCGAAAACAAAAGGGATATTGTGATACTGAAATGCCGCATCAAGGACACCTCATTTCTTTTCTCCTTGGCTTACAACATAATATTGATAATAATTTGCACTGTGTACGCTGTCAAAACGAGAAAGATACCTGAAAATTTCAACGAATCTAAATTTATTGGATTTTCGATGTATACAACATGCATAATTTGGCTTGCATTTATTCCTATATACTTCAGCACACTCAATGAATTTCAGGTTAGTCTTAATAATTTTACTTTATGTAAGAGAAAGGGTAAAAATATTATATGCTTTATCAAACCAGTAAAATAATAAAATAATCACTCAAGGACAATTGATTAATGTCATTTTTATTATTATCATATAAAACATGTTTATAATTGATTTAGCTCGGATAGTTTGCGTGAATTATTACAATATTAATTTAATGGGGATATTCTAAAAATTTAATGGAAGTTATTAAATAAGTTATATTAAAATATTTTATTCCAGATTCAAACTACGACATTATGTATTACTATAAGTTTAAGTGCTTCCGTAACCTTATTTTGCTTATTTGGTCCTAAAATATATATAATTGTCTTTCACCCCGAGAAGAATGTTAGAAAATTGACGATGGGATCCGCGGGTTATGCTAAAACTGCCACCAATAGTAGCTCAACATACAATCAAGGTATATACTACATATATGTCTGATTTTATCTTCAATACATTTTTTTAACAATTAGAATTATTCAGTTCAGCTTGCACTGCTTCCATTTTAGGCACTACCACCATATCTCTATATTCTAGAAATCAAATGAGTTAAGCTTTTTACAAAAAATAAAATAAATAATAATTTTCTTATACAGGCAAAAATTCTCTCACGAACCATAATATTCCTCTAAGAATTGGATTCAACAACAATCACGATGAACTTAAGAGTCAAAAAAGTAGTTTGAATTCGGAAGAAGAAATCTTATTGGACAAAAAAAAAGATTTAATTTTTAAAAATACTATACCAATTATGAAAAACGACCCATCTACCTCTCCAATAAAGCTTAAAGTAAATCATGTATTAAATAATGCCGAAAACAAATCTAAAACAACTAACGTTAAAAGGGCACGTATAATTGAAGAAAGCCTTACTTCATTTTAAATCATTTTATTTATTTAAAATTGTTATCATTAAAACTGAATAAAAATATTTATTAAGTTTATTTAATAATAACTATAATATTATTAAAATTAATGTTAAGTAATTAATTATGTGCGTCAGAATGTTGGAAATATGAAATAAATTATCTAGTATAATAGGCTTATTAAATATTTGATTTTCGTGTTTGTGAAGCAGGAAGAAAAATTTTAATGCTTAATGCCATATATTATATCTGATGTCCATATTGTTATGATGTAATTGTTTAATTTAAATAATATAAAGTTAGGAATCAAAATAAATCTAAACATTTTTAAATCATTAATAAAATAATTTATGCTTTATAATATACAAACATAAATTATAAAAAAATGCATTGTTAGTTTACTAAGCCATACTTTTACTTCCAAAACTAGCTTTATTTTTTAAATTGATTTGTAGATAATCTTGTAGTATATTCCTTCATGAAGTTATGACATACTTAAGCGCGTATATTCATCGCAGGAAAGATTTGACATACGACAACAAAAAAAATGAATATAAAAAAAGGAATATAAATAAAGAATAGAATTATATAAACCACCCCTCTAGATACATATAACCATTTTATACCAATCTTACATTGGCCTGGCATTAGCAATGGTAAAATAATTGAATTATTTCAATTTCACTATCTTTTTATGTTTTTAAAGTATTATAAAAATTTTATTTAGTGGTACAAAATTAATATACTATGCTATTAAGAGAAACCTGGGTAGATAGGACCATGGAGCAACAGCATTTTTTTAAAACTTATAAAGATTAAGGTCTAAAAATTAATCCCCAAGTAATAATTGTTTAAGTTGATCATAAATTTATACAAAGAAATATGATCTTAAATCGATAAGTTACATTTATCGAGATTGTTAACATATCAAATTAAAGCCTAAACTCTATTCTATCATTTGTATGAGTTTATATTCACATGTAACTATTAGTATGTTTTCTATTCACTTTTGTCACGAGTGTGGACTTAGGGCACCTAAAACCATTCATGTCAATCAAACGTAATTTTTTAAATATTTATAAATATTGAAGAATTATAAAATAATGATCTTTATAATGCATTCAAGTCTTTAAAATTTATCACCTCTTCAAACAATAAAAAAAAATCAACAATATAAAAGTTTGTCAAAATATTATAAAAAATTCCGAAGATCAACTTAATATTTTTGTTGATCTTTACAGATCCCTCTTCAATAATATTTTCCTTCTCTAATTCTATTTCCTCACAACATCTTATTACTACTCCTCCTTTTCCTCTTAATAAAAATGACTTTATTACTATTATAAAAAAACTCAAAAACCATAAATCCTCTGCAAATAACATTCACAATGAAATATTAAAAATATTCCCCGAATCTATTACTTATTTACTTTTTCCTACCTTAAATAAAATATGGAACACAGCAATTCTTCCCACCAATTGATGTAAATTTACTATTATTAATATACCCAAATCATCAAACCCTTCCTCATATCATGATTACAGAGGCATTACCCTCTCATCCTCTTTCTACAAAATTTTTACTACCTATATATTTAACCTTATCTCTAAGATATTGATAAAAACACCCATAATTCTATTGCCCCCTTCAGAACAGGACCAACACCATTAAACTAATTTACTTCACTTAAAATACAACTTGAAAAAGTCCATATTTACAAAACTGATATCTACGTTATTTTTATTGACATTTCAAAAGCTTTTTCAATAAAACATCAATACTTATGGAATATTATTCTCAAATATAAAATTAATACACATCTTATAAATATTATAATGTACATTTATGAAAATAGTCTTATTAATATTAAACACAATAATTTATCCTCACCCTATTTCAAAATCAAATGTGGCATTAAACAAGGATGCCCTTTATCTCCTTCCCTTTTTAACTTAATAATTTAGGATCTAATTAATTCTTGTAACCTCCATAATGTCGATTGGCTTTGCTATGCCGACGACATTTATATTATTACTGATGATTATAATTATATCAACAATATTTTTGCAAAAATTTCTTCCACTCTCCAACAGATGAATCTTAAAATAAACTTTAATAAAACAAAAATATTATCTACTTCCCCATTACAAACCTAATATTTAACAACAAAAATATTCTTTTCACTAAATCTTTCAATTATTTAGGTATTATTATCGATTATAAAGGTTCAATTAAACCAGATATATCATCCAAACTCGCTAAAGCTACTTATAACTATTTTTCTCTTAATAAATTATGGCATACAAATATTATATCAAATAAATTCAAAGTTCAAATTTTCAAGACCTACATTCTATCATCGTTAACTTATGGCATTGAAACTTGGGATATCACTAAAACTCATCTAAACAAAACTCAAGTCTTTATTAACAAATCTTTAAAAAACATCCTAAATATCAGATATCCATATATTATTTCTAACTTCAACCTTTGGAACTCTTGCAATCTCCTTTCCTTACACAGACTACTTACATATAGAAAGCTCGAATTACTATGTCACTCCTTAAGACATTCACAACATAGCACTATCACTAATGCATTAAAACATATACCATCTAATAAAAAAAATAAAAAACTTTATTACTCATAATATAAATCATGGTACGGACATGCTATTAATATTAACAATGTCGGCCGTCTATTTATTATAAACATCTTCCAAAATAAATCCCACTTGAAATCTTGACTAACTCAAGCAATCCTTGATTAATTATCTCCTATTAATTCCATTTAATAATTCTAATTACCAATTATAAATTTAAATTAATAATTTTTAATTACTAATATTATAAATTATATATTACTATATATAAATAAGAAATGTAAATAAATATAAATTATCTTTGTACAATTCACTTACCTAATCTTTCTCTTCACTTAATTCTCCAATTTTTAATCTAAGATATTTTTTCTTCAATTTATCAATCCTTTTTTACTTTCTCTTTAAATCATTAAATTCCTTTATATATACATAAATTTCTATAACATTACATTAATACTATATATATAAACTTCTTATTTCTTAATATCAATTTAGTGGATGCCAGCTTTATCCACAAGAGATACCGTAAGCTCTCTTAAATTAAACGGGCCCTGACAGTAGGGTAAATTACTGTCAATTAAGTGGATCCTTGCTTATCCACGAGAGGTACCGTAAGCCCTCTTAAATTAAACGGGCCCTAACAGTTGGGTAAATTACTGCCGAGTGAATGCAAATTCACTGCACTGTAGATGCCCTCTATGGGGTGGTGGAGTGCCCACTTAATTGTGAGATGTCTCCCCAGTGTATGATATGATATGAAAAACCAGATATATCCTATACCCAAAGTTAATAAATATATTAAATTATATGAAAATAAAGTCATTTTATTTAAATTAGTTGTATTAATTAAAATTGATATAAATAGAGAGCAATTAAAGTAAAATCTAGGCTGCTGGAAAAATACTGAAAATTATTAAATTTTTATTTTTGGTATTCAAGGCATCAAAAAGTATTTACTGAATATGGAGAAAAGCTTCTTTTAGAATACATATTTAATGTTTCAAACTTTATTACAATATTAGAAAGGTTTTATAAATTTAAATGTGACATGAAAATATTTTAATCAAGATATTTTTTTTAAATTAACTTGTCTACTAATATAGCTGTCTGTTCAAAATTTCAAAAATATCTCCAAAAGTTTTACCTAAGAGAGGTTCTCGCCAACTGTTTTAGACTGCATAAATTTAATAGAGTCCATTCTTTTGAAAACTCTTTATTAATGTAAGGATTTACACTGATATAAAACGGCTAATTGCCTGGGGAGACAGCCTTTGTAGACAATCAAAATGTGGAATGTACTTGAATCATAAAAATATAATTAGATTATTTGACCAGTCATAAACTTTTGGTCAGTGGCCACACTTGACTGGTTAGATAGACTTACAAACCCTGATAAACATACAAGAAAATATATTACCACTACGCTTCATTAAAATTGAAAGGAATTATGGATTAAATTAAAAATCAAAAAATATTATTATGTAAATGGATTCTAGGAAAAATCTTATGTATTTTAATTTGTATCGGAGCATCTCTGCTCAATTATCGAATAGTCAGCCATTACTGAAGATGCCACCAATGGAAGTCATCCAGTTGCCACAAAATTTTAATATAGACAATGGTTGACTAGTTTAAAATTTTAAAAAATAATTAAATGTATATATTTAACTATTGTTTACATATTTATAACTTAATGATTTAAAATATTAGGAGTATTTTTCAAATTAAACATATTTTTTTATAATTTGTTCTAAATATAAATGTAATAATTTGATATATAATGATAAAATCATACAATTTTAAAACATAGGATATAATCGTATTTAAAAATTGATGCAAATATTATAATCAGATCAGTATCGGGTATTTTTTAGTTCATATCAAGATCAACAAATATCTAAATCGATAACAGTAAAGAAGGGGGGATTTTTTTGTCTATTTTTAATATCTTTTACCTTTATCGGAAAAAAATTCCATTTCTTTCTGTCAACAATTTTAAATGAATTTAAATGGCTTAACATGGAAATTTTTTTTTATCAAAAGCATACATTGAGGAATGGGCAAACCACAGATATGCTTCATTTAAATCATTTTCAAAAAAATTCTGATAATTGGTGGATTGTTAATTGGAAAAAAGTACGATTTTAATGCTTCATGACATAAGGATAAAAAGAAAGCCATCATATTTTGGAGTGAAGTTATTTATAATCAAGTATAAGCTAAACAAATTCGCACAAGTATATGATGAGGAGAATACATAAAAAAAATTTTGATGAAAAATAGCATGATGTGAAAAAATATATACAAATATAACTCATTCTGATGTAATCGTAATACTTTTTCCATAATATGTAAAAAAAAATTTAAAAAGAGGACAAATTAAAATAAATACCGGATATATTTTTAGATATCTCAAAAAGGATATCTGGTAACCGTAATATTCGTCAGTATCAGTATCGACTAATACTTTTCATTTTTACCGATACCAGTAGCCGATACTCAAAAATGATAATTAATCTTTATAAATTTTAAAAATAAACTAGTCAATATTATGCTATGCCTATATAAAAATAAATTCATATAAAAATTAAAATTTAGATAAAAAGAGTGCTTGTTAATCCTTATTTCTTATTTCTTTTATTTTAATTTTATGAATTTCATCAATTAATTATATAATTAATAATATATGAATTATATCTTCGCTTTGAATAAATATACCACATTATCTTGGTATCGATCAGTGGTATTCGCTATTAACATGTTCGGTATTAAATAAAATGTATGTAATCAATTAATGGCTGCGCCTTTGTGACTATTTTTCTCCAAATTGTGGGCAGCAGGAAAAAAAAAGAAAATTGATTGTTTAAAATCATTTTAAACCATATTTTATTTTACCTACACTATATCCAAAAGAACAATAAATACAATTAACTTTAACCAGTTCTAATTATATCCCAAAAAAATATTTTAGCACTATTTTATTTTTACATTAAAATAGCTTGTTATATTTTTCTTCAAAATTAATAAATTTGTTTATTTATATTTTTTTTTATATAATATATTTTGAAAAAAATTTCTAAAAAATATATATTAAATAAAATAAATTATCCTAAAAAAAAATACCTGAAAAAATAAAATAAAATATACCCCCCTCTAAAGATTTAAAGTAGGTTTTTTTAAAAATCGCTAAAAATGGAAATATCATCTATACTCCCAATTTAATTTTTTTCTCTTATTTTAATAAATTTTTGTTTACTTCCCTATCATCCATTAATATTAATTTCAAAGTTACTTAAAAAAATTTCTACAAGGTACAAGCGAGATTCCCAATTTTTAGCGATTTTTAATTTCGAGACATAGAACGGGAACATTTAAGTTGAGTTTTTAAAGAAATTACTAAAAAAGCGAAAATATTATCATTGTTCCCAATTTGATTACCAATTTGGGAATATGGATAATATTTTTTCTTTTTTTAGGGATTTTTAAAAAAACTCACTTTAAATAAAATAATATTTCCCTAGCATCTACTAATATTATTTTCAAATTTACTTTAAAAATTTTATAAAAGATAAAGCGATCCCGACTTTTAGCGGTTTAGAACCTTTAATTATATCTCCTAGAAAATTTAAAGTAAATTTAAAATTCATATTAATAGAAGCTAGAGAAGTATAAATATTGTATTTAAGTTGAGTTTTTAAAAAATTAGTAAATAAAAAAAATTACTAAATTTCTAATTTTCTCATATTTTAAAATAGAGGTGTAATAATTTTAAATTTTTTATGGCCTCCTAACTCTCCATTTTGTAAGCTTTACCGCCCAGAAGGCGCTTATTATATTTTTAAGACTTAGGTCATTTATTGATATGTACAGCTTTGATTTAAAAAATAAAATAAGTGGCATTCGTAAATCAAAGCCTATTTTTATTAGACTTTATAGAAGAAACTCAATAGCCGGCTAAACAGACGACTGCTAAGAACTAAGTCGGACCAGGACAGGCCCTAAATGTTGGCAGATATCTTATAATTAGTGCTTCCAATTGTTAGGCTAACATCGTGAAGCTGATGATAAATATCTATGATCAAAATTTATAAATATGTATAATAGGTAGATTTTCTATATATTTACTTTACAAGAAAATATTTTTTTAAATAAATTTAAGTCATTTAAGTAAATTAGGCCTGAGTTTTTATATATTTAATATCTTTAATTGTTTTTAATATTAAAAAATTTTAATCATAAATTTCAATTATAAAAATAAGAATATTTTTTTTAATAGAAATTAAAGGTGAAGAGTTCATAAAAATTATAACAGTATATATAAGTTACAACCCAAATTCTTGAAAAAATATATAAAAACATGCGAATGACCATATGCACATTCTTAATATAAAAAATGAATATCGATATATCCTTAATTCAATATTTTAATGTTCCATATTCTTTTTTACAATTCTTCATTAGAGCATTTTTTAAAAATTTACATATTTTCAACAGAGATAAATTTTTTCCCAACTGATAGATAAGGCTTAGAATAATATATAAGCAACTTAACATAGCTTAGCCTAATATAGTATTCTTAGAAAACTTATTTTTATACATTTGAAAAAATAGATATGGAACAAATTTAATTTTTCAATAAATAAAGTGAAAATGTTCTATATCCAAAAATTGATGTAGCCTTTTATTTAAAGATACTAAATATTTAAGTTTTAAATGGATATGCAACAATTACTGAAAATTAACAAAATAATAAATTTTATTTAATCTCATGACTACATATTTGTAATTCTGGGTTAATGATTTGGGACATTATAATAAAGTAATAGCAAAGTAACAGAATGAATTCTAAATTATTTTTCTATTTTTGTTATGAATATGGATCAATATAGCACTAAAGAATAGATTTATTGAATTTGCCAAAAAGGATATAAAACAAAAATATTGACCCGAATATATGCATCATGTTATCTATCGCGATTAAAAAAAAATATGACGTTTATCTATATAATTGATAAACCATATTTGATTCGAGAATTTGTCAATAGGGGAAGCCACCAGCCAATACTTTTTCAGGTTCAATCACTCAGAGTTGAGTAATAAAACAAAATTCAAACTATTAATTGTAAACTTGACTCTTCGTCAAAGGCTAACAGAATTCCCCGCATTCCTGTGGTGCGGAAGAGTTCAATTTTTGCAAAAGCCTCAAATTATGAAGGGAGGCCCCTTAAGATTTTTTGCGGGATAAGAAGGGGGGGTCAAGGTTTTTGCTCCTTCTGCACTTTGTCTCTGATTCCAGGTAATATTTTGCTTATAAATTTAAATTTTTTTATATATGTGAATAAATTGAACTTTATTTATGATAAAAAAATAATAAGAAGGTTAAAATATAATTACAAATTAGCAAAAAACATTTAACAAAAAATTAATAAATTCATTATGAGAAATTTAGTTATCATATACAATACATTTGGAAATACATAAATTTGTACAGTCCATTTATTAAGGTTGTTTGCACACTGGACAAACTTGTGGATTATTATTAATGGGTATTGTTTGATTCTGATATTGCATAATGTTATTTTGAAAATTGCCACCACCCTTCAAATAGTTCCTAGGACGAGGACTCCCAACAAATAACGGCTCTAAATTGTATTTCTGGTTACTTACCAACCTTTAATATAATTTTATGGTTGAATTATTATTATTAAAATTAGCATTGAAACATAAATTTGCAACAAATACAATTAGCTTTTTATAAAATTCGGGAAATTTTTTTTTACTTTTAAAGTTATTTTGACCCATTAATGGTCAAGATTTTTCTGGTGGATAAAAATGCTCAATTTTTTCAAATTATATTGATTAATGCTCAAATATGATATTTTAAAAAAATCAGCCGAAAAAAATAATCCTAAATAGAAAATCTAGCCTGGTGCATATCTGCACCGTTAACCATTAAGAGGTTAAAAAAGATAAAAATTATGTCTAAGACTATAAGATCAAAAAACAATAGAAATCTTAATTCTTTTTTTTTGTAATTTATAATAAAAACAAGAAAATGTTTATATATTATGAAAATCCTTGAAACATTTAGTATGAATTGTGATTTGACATGTTTGGCACATATATTTTGAGTGCGTATGGCAATATCTGCATCTACGTCTTTTCCCATCTATAATTTTGGATAAATAATTTTCAGATGAATCAGTAGGGTTCTCGCTCTGTAATGCAAACTGGCTTGCGTGCCCTGTACTTAAATTTTTTCAGAGAAAACAGATACGTTATATTTTACAATCCCTTTCAATGGGGAAAATGAAAATATAATAAAACTTGAAGACAATTTGCATGGTAAAAATCCATCAAATATATATTTTAATTTTCGGCGAAGACTTATATTCCCTAATTGTAGATCAAAGTAATATTTATGCAAAACAAATGAATAGGTCTAGTAATGTATAACCATCTCAGATATTAAGAGATTTATTGGAATTTTATTATTTACTCGATATCATTCTTTCCCACAGTAAAAGATGTATTTGTCTAATAATAATGATATTTCTATTCCAATAATCCGGAATACAATGACTCAATTACAATTACTAAATTTAAACATAATATTTATTTGACAGACAATACTAAAAACATATCCATGATAGATTTTATAAAGTTAGGCCTTACAAAACCAAATTGTCATAAAATATATTTTGATAATTTCTATACGTCAATTAAACTTTTATCATACTTAAAACAAATGGGATATTTTACAACTGGAACTGTGATTGATAATAGAATGGAGCATTGCCCAGTTGAATCGATAAATGCTGTAGCAAAAAAAGAAAGAGAATATTATGATTATAGGTTCAAAATTAAACGATATTTATAGTTCGTTGAAATTATAATACGGGGGTGACTAGGTATTCCAAGAAAATATCTTCTAAAAATAAAATTCCTCAGCCAAATATGATCCCTGCTTATAACAAACACATGGGTGGAGTTGATCTGTGTGATAATCCCATATCTACTATTAAATAAAAAGAGGGAAAAAAGGGCGGTGGCCAATATTCACCAATTTTATCGATGTAGCTTAGATAAATTCGTGGAAAATTTGGAAATTTATGAATCGAGATGAGAAGAAGAGATTGCTTGCATTTAGGCGAGAAGTTACTACTTCCTTTGAACACCAATAAAAATTTTAAATGGCGAGAAATTACAGAATAGCTTTTTGTAGCAGATGATTCTGGAATGTCGTCTCAATTGAATTATGAATCTCCAATTCACCAGCAGTATCTGAAAGTAAAACTCCGTCATTTGTTAAGTCATTTTAGAAATGATTCATTTAAAAATTTTAATTAAAAATTAAATATTTATTTCATAGAATCTTGATTTTTTAATTAGTCATCTATTATTTTGATAATTTTGATTGAATTGACAAAACAGGTGCATAAGAAAAAAAATGTTCAGCAAGGAAGAGGGTACAAATAATTTTAATTTTTTATGAATAATTTTAATTTTCGAATATTTATGAACCGAATATTTGCTAATAATTTTATATAATTAGGTCGAGATAAAAAATTATAAAAGAACATATTATTCGATTCTCAGGGGGCTCAAAAATATTTTCAAAAGACCTTTTTTGGATATAAAAATTTCTTTTAGCGGGCTCGAGCCTCCCACCCCCCTCCTTAGCAATGGTAATAGTTTTAAGTATAATATAATAAATTATAATTCATTATGTTAAGTTTAATTTGTTTGAATTTTTTAAAATAATTTATACTGCTAGATGGTTAACGGTTCATATATGCGCCAGTCAACTTTATAAGGTTAGCAATTAAAATTTTAATTATTTAAAATTTCAAAAATGATTGATAAATATTTATATATCTATAAAAAAAATTTATACACTAGTTTTCATCGAAATAATTTCACAATATGCTCGTGAGATCACTTAAAAGACTTTGCATTTTAGACCTCATAAATTCGCCATGTTTGAGGGCTTCTTAGGGACAGGGACATAAAAAAAAATTTTTTTCATATTTTTCTTTTCCAGTTTTGAGGTACAATGTCTAAACTATATAAAAACCTTTTTTATTATTTTTTAAAATAAAAACTACTATGCTTAAAAATGATATTTAGGAGGTGGTGTATATATGCACCGTTAACCAGTAATGGGTTGGAAATTTTAAAATATACAAGCATTTTTTTATAAAAATGTAAGATAAAAGAATTTAATATTTATATTAAAATATAATTCTTTAGATACCAATTCAATCTGCAAATAAGAATGAACCAATAATTATAGTTATGAGCAGTTATATAATACATAATGATAAAAAATATATTTTACCAATCTGCTGTTATGATAAGATCCCTATATTCTCCAATCTTTAAAAACCAATCTTTTGTCATTCTTGCAACCTGCTGAAGTTGGGCTTTGGTAAGCAGATTAAATCGAATACATGACATAATCTTAAATACCAAAGAATCAGGATTAGTTTGATTCTTGAGCCAATTCAATGCATATTGAAACACCTCCATTTCATTGGCCATGTTAACAGAATCTGATGACAATAAACGTATGATTTCAGATATATCGCCTGTAGCATTGATAGGATTAGCTAAAATTTGGGGGAAGATTTGCTGATTGTTACTATAAGGTGTAACCATAGGAATATTTTGAGGGTTTTGATATTGAAAATTCATTGGCATATTTGTTACGTTTTGGTATTGTAAGTTCGTTGACTGATAATTAGGTAAGGGTGCTGGCTGATTCATGGGCTGATAATTAAGTAAGGATGCTGGCTGATTCATGGACTGATAATTTGGCAAGGGTGATGGCTGAATTATGGCTTGATTAATATTTTGTATCCCTGGATATTTATCATCGATGGCTTTGGAAACATGATTCATCTTGAATAAATCTGCCGTATATTTTAGACCACTAATCATTTGGTTATCTAAATTGAGTTCGTAATCTTGCGTATACATAATTTTTAAGAGCTCCTGGAATATCGCAGGATCGACTTTTAAAAATTTTGGGACGTTCCACCAAGATAGGTTTGGGGTTTTTTTAAATAGTTCAGAGAAAAAGTAGCTGTGACACCCTAGAATAAATTTATGAACCTTAAAATCTTGTCCGGACACATTAACAGTAAAATCAGCAGAATCCTCTAATCTTTTGTGCCATAGGTATTTCATATAATGCCCTATAGCTGATGGTCTTAGAGATGGTTGCCAGGCTTTATCTTCTGATGTGTATTCTTCACCACCCCATGGCATTTGGAGTCCTATAGGTTTTTCAATCCTTTTCTCATCAATCTGAGGTGGTGGTATTTGAATTAGGGGCTGAATGGGAGTTTGAGCTGCTGGAACAGCTAGCGTTTCGCATAATTTAGTCATATGGTACATGCCCAACTTTTTGGCCACATTCATGAGTGAATCCAATTTTGCAGGAGTTAAGGCCAACTCTGATTTGTACATAAATTCCAAGACGTCTGTAAATGCTTCAGGAGTTATATTAAAATCGGGGGGAATTGTGATCTCCGTAACATTGGAATCCCCCAATATTTTTTCGCAGAAATAATCGCTTGATATTTTTTATATTAAAAAATTTTAATTAAAGCTATGGCTAAAAAGTAAGAGAAAAATAATAAACCAAAATTAACCGATTTATTTAACCTATGACAAATGAGTATAATTCTATGAGCACCAAAACTTTTGTCACCCACTTTGACAGTGATATCAGAACATTTAGCTTTTCCCTCTGTCCAGAGCATCGAAACATATTTCAAAATCCTTGATAGCCTGGTAGATGTGGGATCAAAAGCCATTGTTTTCCACTAAATTTTTATCTATAGAGTCCCAATATAAAATTTCAAAATATTAAATAAGTAAATGATGTCAAATTTTATTATTTAATACGTCATATCAAAGCAATCATTTCATAATTTTACACAAGTATTAAATAAATTATTGATTATGTTAGCTTGTATAAAATTTATATGAATATAACTTTTATATTATACTAAAATTTTAAAAATGGTAGGAAAATGATAGAATTAAGTCAACGTTTTTAAACAGAGAAATAAAGGCCTATTAACAAACTATTGATATTTTCACATTATCTAAATATGACATTTAAACATTAATTTTACTAATTATAAATTTGTTTGAAAGTTGCTCATAATTTTATGTAAACATGGTGGCCTAATTACTTTTCCCGTCAGCTATCCACCTTTTAAAAATCATGACAATATCAAAATTATTTTTTCTAATCTCTTTTGCCATAAATATAATCATTTTTTTCTACGTTAAACTTAATATATTCAAACTTCTTTCATGTACAATAAAATGATAGGCATATATAAAATAATACATATCATTACATCTTTCCATTTCCGTTGGTCAAATCTTCTCTACACATTTTGAAATATAATCTACTTATTTTTGGTACATTATCCGAAAACCAAGTTTTGGTATATTATTAGCAAGGTTTATAATATTGCTATATATGATTAAGTTTAAGGCAATATTTAGGGAAAAAATTAGCCAAATAAACCATAATAGGTTACCGTATTTAAGCTTATTTTAATAGTATAAATGGAGTCCACAAAACATTTATGAAGTAAAGTGTAAATGACCTGCGATTCTCCTGCTACAATAAGCATAATTGGGGTGAACCTTTATGGCTTTAATCATTTTTTTCTGTCCTGGTGATTATTCTACTTATATTTTAACTCAATGATCAATAGATAGCTACATTACCAACTTTAAGACTATTAAACTCTCTTATCCAGACGTGTACACAAAGAAAAAATATTCGGATACCGACTAAAATATTTTTTTAAATATGATTATTAATATTATTTTATAATCGTGGCACCTTTTTCGCATATATATTTTAATTTACATTTATTTATCACATTTCCAGCAGAAATAAATACCCTACTGGTTTATTCTATAAATGCCATCAAGCAGTAACGGCTTTGTTAGAAGTGTCTATTATAAATTCTCTTATTGAATAACCCAATGACTTGAAAAACACATTTCTTCAGAAGCAGTTAGATTATTGTACACAATACTACAATTTATTTTTTTTTACATTAGAATTATAATAAAAACTTTAATTGCACAAGTATTTTATGTAATATATTTGAAAAATAATACATCGTTATTAAGACAATGAGAATAGATAAAAATCGCCGGGGTGGCTTAGTGGGTTATGATGTATGCTTGGAAACAGAAGGTCCCAGGTACAATCCTGGTAAGGAATCGTAAAAATTTTCAAGTATTTCTTCGATGACTGATGTATAAAGACATATGGTAAAATAAATTTCTAAGCTAAGAGATGAAACCCCGGTCACCGACAGACTTGGACAGCGGGGTGCTAGGATACTTGTTCAATAAACAAATGAAGGATACAAACAAAAATATGAATATGAAAGATAGGGCGTTTCCTCCAAGCGACGTGCAGGGTGTAGACCTCCATCCTGTGAAAAGTAAAATAAAGGTCAAAGCAAAGAAAACAAGATTAGCAAGCTTGAATATTGGTACACTTAATGGTAAGACGAGAGAATTGGCATCCATGTTGAACAAGAGAAAAGTTGATATAGAATGCATACAAGAGACGAAATGGGAAGGTCAGAAAACTCTAATGATTGGAGATGGATATAAATTGTACTATAATTGAATTGTTAGTAATAGGAACGGTGTCAGCATCATCCTCAGTCTAGATCTAACCTCCTTGGTTGATATTAACAGGGTCTCTGATATAATAATGAAAATACTCTGCATTGGTCAATTAATACAACATATTCTTTCAGTATATGTTCCACAAATAGGTTGCAAAGAAGAATAGAAGGATGACTTTAGAGCTATCCTTGATGAAGCTGTAATGGAAACCCCAAAGGTGACCTAGTAATAATAAGTGGAAACTTAAATGCGCATGTGGGAAAAGCATGAGACAGCTACAAAAGGCATCGTGGTTTCGGGTATGGAGAAAGAAATGCTGAAGGAGAGCATGTACTGAAATTTGCGCAAGCCTTCGACCATGCCTTAACCAAAACCTACTATAAGAAAAAGGACAGTCATTTAATAACATATGAAAGCGGTACAAGGAAACCCCAGATAGGTTACATGCTAATTTCTAGCAGAAGATTAAAAGATATAATAGACTTCTGAAATGTATCGAAATGTATCAAAATAATTTATTGAGAACTATTAATTTAACATGATCAGATATATATATTTTTCTATTTTTATAAATTGTAATAAATTCTAGCTTTAAGCAAATATAAAAAATCCATTTATTTAA